CTGGCTGCTGGCTATACACGGTAGCCCATGGCAACCCACTGCCACAGGGACAGCAGCCTATGCCGTCGCCGGCGATTCACGGCAGCCCAGCTCCAGGTCGAGCTGTTGTTCAGCATCTCAGCTGTTGAGGGCAGCGTCACTGGCCCTCATATGTGGGATCCGAACCGAGGCCCTCTGGCATCCCAAGCGAGCTCTTAACCATCGCGCCACTCGGCCGGCCCAAGCTCCAATAATTTTTGACAGGTGATCAAACTTGAGTGTGGTCTCGCGTTGTTGCGATGAAACACAACTCCTTTAGAATTAGCAATCTCTGGACGTTTCTGGATGATGGATTCATTCAAACTGTCCAATTGTTGACAGTACACATTCGAATTGATTGTTTGGTTCCTTGGTAGGAGCTCGAAAAACATGACACCTTTTAAATCCCACCACACTGAGAGCATAACCTTCCTCTGATGAATGTCTGCTTTCGATGTCGTTTGAGGCGAATCATCATGTCAGGACCAAGAGTGTTTGCGCACCACATTGTTGTAAACAATCCACTTCTCATCACCAGTTATCAGTCACTTCAAAAAAGGATCGTTTTCCTCACATTTAATGAGCATATTGTAGATGTTTATACGTGCCATCAAATGAACTTCTTTGAGTTCATGCGGAACCCAAATATTGAGCTTGCTTACGTATCCCAGCTTCTTCAGATGGTCATGAACGCTTGAATGATGAATGTTCAATGTTACTGCAATCTCTCGTGTAGTGTAACGTGGGTTTGATTTGATCAATGCCTTTATTTTGTCGTCATCAACCTCGGTGGGCCTCCCTGACCGAGGAGCGTCGTTGAGATCAAAATCACCAGAACTGAATTTCGTGAACCATCTTTGGCACTGATATTCTTGTAGAGCATTGGCACTGTAAATGTTATGCAACTTTTCACAAGTTTGATGCACGGTCTTCCCTTTAAGGAAGTAAAACAGTAAAATATGGCGAAAATGCATAGTTTTGTCTTCCATCTTCAACTTTTTGTAAAATCTCCAAAACTCAACCAAATCGCTCTAAAATAAAATTTTGTTTTTAGAACGAAGCTAGAACTGTCAGCTGTCAAAAGACATAGCAATAACATAGATGCGAATGACTCTAGTACTTCCAAAAATGAACTAGTGCCATCTGTTGCAAGCATGCGTCATGACTTTTCCAAGAACCCAATAATTATATAGTGAGGTTGAAATTAAAAGGGTCATAAAAGATTAACAGCCTTTTTGCTTGTTTTATTTTGCTTTTTCTTTGGACTGTGTGGATAGTTCCGTTTTAAGTTTTTTTCCTTCTGCTTTGCAATTTCTCTGGTTGTTCAAAGCTTTTCAGTACCTAAAACTTGTTATGTTAAGCTCATGTTCATGTAGTTTAAGGCAATTAAGGGATTGGATCATAAAGGAATGTGTAGGACTTTTCCACATTAGCCACTCAGTGAGGCGACCGCTAACACTAGTTTGGGGATTCAAAGTATGACCATCATGAAGCTAGCCAATGACCAAGAAGGGACTGAGGAGGATAAGAAGGAACAGCTGCTTAGCTGATGACTTGGGTGCATATGAGACAAATCCCATTCTCCCAAAATTTGCCTGAGCAGTGAACTTTCTTATAATTTATAAAAGAAAGTTAAATCACTCATCTATTCAAATCTTACTAATTGCTTGGTGCATTGCCATTGGGCGCTTAAACTTTTAGGTCACCAGACAAAGAAACAATTGGAAATATTGGCGTAGGTGTTGGAAAAATGGATAACCTAATGGCTGATAACACAACTTTTTTGTAAGTTGTTTTCTTTTGTAAGTTGGTATCTAATTCTCTGGTTTCAAAAGCATTGATGGAAAGCCTATTTGAAATGTTCACCAATAATCATTACAAACAATTTTGGATGATAAATCACTTATTTTTGGCTAGTATCTAGCAAGGAATTTAAGCTATTGAGTGAAATCGTTTTAAGAGTACGCCTTCCAAATCCTTTCTTCTTACCTTTATGAATATCTTAGCCAGAATTCTCAAGAAGACCAAGTCTAAAACAAAGACTAGGCACTACCATTTTATTTGGGTGGCTGGGTAAATTTTTTTAGGTCATTGAGAGTAAGACAAATGGAAGTGAGGCAGCAAAGGACAGAAAGCAAATACAAGCTGGTGCATTATCACACTGGTCAGTCTCATAAGAAACCCAGCTGGTTTCTCATTAAATGGGATATTTCATGCAATCTGGAGTGATTGCATGGAGATGTTTCTTGGAACAGTCTGTTAGGAAGAGGAAGGGCAAGAAATTTATCTGTGGGCTTGTAACTATATCCTGCCTTTCACTGGTCAAAGTTTGCCCCTGGAGCACTAACCTCACACCCTTTCAGGTTATGTACACAGCCCCTTTGGGCAGCTGTTGGTGAAGTCAGAGCCTCTATGAGTTGGGTGGGGGAGTTGGAAGTGGGCTATAGCTGCTGTAAGGAGCATGGTGAAGGTAGTGCTGAAGCCTCACCCATGCCCCCAGGCTGAGGCACCAGTGGGATTAATTAATGCAGTGAGGATGTTAGGTAGGGGTCTCCACTGAGAGTTTGCTAGGCTCCACATTGTTTCTTTTAAAGAATAATGAGGGAAATCTCCTCCAGGGGTAATTACTGCGAATTTAATTTCTCAGTAATTCTACTTATCAAAATAATAAAATATTCATCCACAGGTACATGAACTAATTGGAAAAACAAAGAATATAGTTCTATTCATCTCATTTAAAGATCACTTCCAGTAAAACTTTATTGTTTAATATTTATAATACATTTATGTTGCTTTGATCCACCATGTGTTACTGTTGAATAACCTAGAAGGAATTTTAACATCTAGTTCCTTATGATAATAGGAAATTTACATTTTAATTTAATTTTTGTTGGGGACTATGATGGATAATCAAAAGATTTTAAACAATACATATTTTTATGTTAGGTTAAAATTCTTTTGAGAGAACTGGAATGAAAGTATTTGTTAAAGAGAGCTTATAAAACAGTATGGAGGTTCCTCAAAAAATTAAACAAAGTATTATATATTATCCAACAATTCCACTTCAGGTTATATACCCAACAGAAAGCAGGGATTCAAGCAGATAGATGTACATTTATGCTCATAGCAGCATTATTCAAATAGCCAAAAGGTGGAAACAACCCAAATGTTCATCGACAGATGAACAGATAAACATGTAGTATATACATAAAATAAAATATTATTCAGCCTTAAAATGGAATGAAATTCTGACACATGGTACAATATGGATGAACCTTGAGTTTATTATGGTGAAATAAACCAGTCACAAAAAGCCAAGTACTGTATGATTTCACTTCTCTGAGGCAGCTGAGTCGTCAAATTCATAGAGACAGACAGTAATCTTTTACATACATTATTGCTAATCCTTATAACTTTTAGAGACAGGTCTTACTAATTCTAACTTGACAAATGAGAAAAGACTCCCTTATGGGATGCTTAAAAATCTCTTTCGATTTTCAGAAAAAAGTGATGTGGCAGATTCCTGTTTCTCCCAGAATTTTAAGTCACCATCTTTGTGTTGCCATGGAAAGACATATTGCAGGATTTGAAAAATGAATTTGGATTTGTATGAAGTCAGTTGATACACAAAAAGTGGTGCTAAGAACATGTTTGGCAGGTACCAAGTTGATAAAAACCAGCTCCTATTGCTATTTTCATCTTTTATTTGTGTGAATTATGAGATTCTACTGCCTAAATTTTTGGACTACAAAATAGCACGTCAGAAACACAAAGGCAAAAAACCCCCAAAAAACAAAAAACAAAAGAAAATGTTATTGAGCAAGTTGCTAAAATTGAGCCTTTCTAACCTCTCACATCATAGGGCTGTAGAGGTCAAGTTAGATAAGGTATTTAAAGACTCTTGCAAATATTGTTAAATGATAGATAATAAATGTTTGGCACAACGCAAACAATAAATGATCATTTAGGTGATGTAAGTAATTGTTTAATTCATTGGAGAGTGCATCCTACACATACAGACCTACTCATTTGTATTGTTGGGTAGATATATGGAATAACTCTCCAAGGACAAACAAGAAATTTTTACAGCGCTTGCCTTAAGAAAGGGGAATTGGGAATACGAGGTGTTAGTTGAGTGGAAGAGAAACTTCCCACCACACACACTTAAAAATTCATGTAATTTAAAAACAGCAATACATTCGGGGGCGTTAAAATAATAATAATAAAAGCACACAGAGAAAATTTTCTATCTCAACCCGTCCCACGTACTTTTATTTTCCCATGTATTTTTTTTGTAAATACGAATGCGTTGTTTTATTTCTTATTTTTACACCAACACTGCAACCTCTGTACATTCTTCGGCACCTGGCCTGGCTTTTTATGCATACACTTGCGCATTAAAGCGTAGCCCCCGCCCCCCAAATGATGTGGTATAAAATACACTATGTAAGCTAACAGCAAGCACTGTCGACATCTCCAAGCCACCCCCTACCTCCTCAGTACCACGCGCCCCAAGACACACTTTCACGAGCTGTTTCCGGCAAAACTGTTCTAAGAGTCCCCGGGCGGATGCCCCGCCCACTCGCCCCGGCCCTGCGTTCTGGGCATGCTCCTTCGCTCCGCACCTCAGGCATCCCTGCAGACAGCCCGGCTTCTTGCGCGCCGCGGGCATTGAAGGACCCAAGCGACTGCAGTACCTTAGGGCCCGGTGGACTAGGCGGCAGCGGGAGCGGTGGACGTTGCGACTGACTTGCACTGGTTGCTTGAGGAACGCATTTAGCTGGCCACCCTCGCCGCACTGGCTGATAGTTGTGCAGACGGCGCCATGTCTGTGAGCGAGATCTTCGTGGAGCTGCAGGGCTTTTTGGCTGCCGAGCAGGATATCCGGGAGGTGAGCCCCTTCTGTCTCCATCCCCTTTCCCTGTCTAGCTGGGCCACATTGTTCGTCCCTTCTCCGTTGCTCAGTCTCGAGCGGTGGGGAAGTCTCCGGGGTGGGTTGCTTCCCCTCTTGTGTCAGCTTAGGGCGAGTTCCTACCCACTCCCGATTCTGCTTCCCACTCCTGATTCCCTGTGTTCGGATCTCGGCTTCTCGGCATCACCTGCCTCATTTGAATGTCAGTTTTCCTCTTCAGCACTTATTTATGTCGAAAGCTCAGTTAGATCTTGGGACTCAGACGACGCGCGTTTTATGTGTTTGTCGTCGGTGTCTTAAAAGCACGTGTGGCCTCTCCTCGCATTCCACATAGGATAAAAATCCAATTCTGTAGCCCACAGGTGTGTGTGTGTCTCCCAATCTCACTTTACGGCATCTTGCATTGTTTATTATATTCAGTTTACCTCCCTTATATCCTTCTAGTTCCCCAAATAGTTGCCTACCTCAGGATTTTTGCATGTACACTTTGCTTTTACTGGAAGTTGCTTCTTTCTACTGTTTTCCTGCTAATCTCATATTCGTCTCCTTGATTTGACAGTCTAAATGATCTTTTCTCTGTCATGATTTCTAATAGTACATTAACATTTTAGGAAATTTGTGCGATTCTTATTTTTTAAACGTTTGTCTCTCCCATTATACTCTTAAACTGCCTGAAGGAAGGGACTGCACTTGGTTCCCCAGTATTTATACAATTCCTAGAACATATATGTGCTCAGTGAATATTTGTAAAATGAATGAATGAGAAATACCCAAGCCTAGTATTGCATGTTATTCTTCTCAACAAATCACATTCAGATACATCTCCTTTAATATTTACAGTGCCCCTGTGGGATATTTGGGGTGGGTGGGGGTGGCTGTTGTCCTTTGAAGGCTACATAAGGCTTTTTAGTGACTTCCTGACGTTCTCACTGAGGAAGTAAGTGAAAAAGTCTTAATTCAAACTGGGTATTTTTTGTACCAGTTTAGACCTTGCAAATATCGTTACTATTTTGAATGTCAATGTATGTGAAGCTGTCATAGTCAAATATGCTATCTAGGATAATTGGTTTGAAACTATGATAATATGTTGAATTTATCTGATGTTTTGATTTTTAATTGTCTGTAGGAAATCCGGAAAGTTGTACAGAGTTTAGAACAAACAGCTCGAGAGATTTTAACTCTACTGCAAGGGGTCCATCAGGGTGCTGGATTTCAGGACAGTAAGTTCTTTGCTTTGATTTTGAAGGTCTTTATCTAGTTTATCAATCTTTCATTTAAAGTGTTAATTTCCATCCAGAAGATATTTCAACTCCGTATCATTTTATTTTGAAAAATGTCTCTCATGCTTTACGGTGTATAAAAAGTGAAGAAGTAGGTGAGTTGATTGTTTTACAGAATTCTGTGTTTTGGTTGATTTTCCACTTTTCTATTGTGATGGAGTTCTACTTATAATAATGGTAGTAGTATCATAGCTCTCTTGTATATCTAGGAATTTTTATTTGGCACTTTAAAAGAGAAAACCCAACCTTTCAGTCATTGAATGTGGTTTAATATGCATTTGTAGATATGAAATGGCCAGTGTAAAATGCTCTCAACATGTTTACAGTTAGCTTCTTGAATGGAGATCAAATATGAGATCATGTATGAGATCAAATATGAACCTCCATTGTAAGATGTAGACAGCACAACTGAGAGAGCTGAAATACATTTTCAGATAGACAATGATGTAATAATGTAATTTACAGGTGTCAAAGGCAAGTCATTTTTATCAATGATACAGAGTTGGTCAGCCTGATTGAGAATAATTAATAAAGGTTCTTTTTGACCAAATACGGGAGGTAGAAGCAATTCAATCTCAGGCATCCTTGAGCACTGACGAGGAATGCAGCTGGTGCTCAGTTCATTAAGGATGAGGTGTTTATTTATGATAGCTTACTGATGTGTTTCCTACTAAACTTGCTTTCAGCAAGTTTTTCTTTGTTTTTAGTATTGGTTAGTCAGTAGGGAACCGAGGTGAAATTTTGAGAGCCAGGTTGAAAAGCAGAGATGGATACCCTACATTTGGTCATGAGTTTTTTTAAAAACTTGATTTATTTCCAGGTAGACTGCATAGATTATTAGCCACGGAATGTATTTGAAATTTGGTAAGTCTTTCATTATTATGTTGCATTATCTTTTTTTGTGATCAGTTCCAAAGAGGTGTTTGAAAGCTCGAGAACATTTTGGTACCGTAAAAACACACCTAACATCTTTGAAGACCAAGTTCCCTGCTGAACAGTATTACAGGTTTGTAAGAAAAGTAGCATTATTTTATAATGTTAAGTAAAGGAAAAGGCAGAAAAATTATATGTACTGGATGATTGCTTGGAACTAGGTAAAAATCCCTCTAAGTGGAAGAAACAACAAAAAGAAAAAGAATCAAACTGTTAATAGTGATGGTATTTTAATGGTGACAAAATTGGTGATTTTATTTTTTGCTTCCCTTTTACTTTCAAAATTTTCTTAAGGAACATGTATAATTTTTGCAATGAAAAAGCAATTAAAAAGAAAATTTTGTTGTATGAAGTCAAAATAGAGAATATCTTTTTAGTGTATTAAAGTTACTTATGAAATTGGATGAACCATATCTATTCAAGTTGTGGTATTAGATAGCAGTATGTATATGGGGTTGAGTTTTACCTCAAAGCTTGAATTTCACTGCCAAGTAACAGTTAGCAAATATTTTATGCCATATCTTGTTGAATTTACACCACCATTAATTTAAAAATACACCATTATTTTATGTACCTCTATGGAAGAAAAATTGTTGCCAGTCATAATTGTGAAACATAGATTGTAAAATGCATCCCAATTTCACAGATATTAAACTGAGAAAAACTGTATCTGAATACTGATGAAATATGGTAAATAAGAACTTAACATTTTTACTTATGTTTGTTTTCTTGCTGAAAAAGATGTTCATTTAGGACACATATGTGGGCTATAAATAGGACATGTGTATGTGGAGAGGATAGTATAACCTCACAAGATCCTTTAAGTCAGGGGTCAACAAGCTTCCTATGGCCTGCTGCCTCTGGAAGCGAAGAATTGCTTTTATATTTTAAAGGGTTGTTAAGAAGAGAAAAACAGCTGAAATAAGAATATGTAACACAGACTGAAAGTGACCTACAAAGCCTAAAATATTTACTATCTGGCTCTTCACAGGAAAAGTTTACCAACCCTGCTGTAAGGTAATAACAAGCATAGAGAAGTAGGACCGTAGAATTGGCAGGCTCTCTAGGCCATGTAGTTTGGAGACCGTTCACAGGCTGCCCTGTGGCTGATTTGACCAGCATTGTTTTGAAAATTTTTTCTAAATTTGTTGCCACATTTGAAAAATCAGGAGACATAGCATAAATATTTAGGGTTGTAAAATTTCCTATTTCTTTGTCAGGTTTCTAGCTCAGTTTAACTGTAGGATCCTGAGGTTTTAAGTCTATCTCTTTAGTTGTTGTAAATGGTAGTTATTTCTTCTATGTGTGAATCAGGATTTTCTTGATACCCTACACTCAAAATGTAGGAATGAGTTTAGTGTTGAGGCAGGTGTCCAGTTGCGGTTCTCATCAATCTTTAGTTGCCAATATTTATTTTTCTCAAAGCAGTGTCATTGTTCTTATTTATTAAACTTCTGAAGTGTAGTTGCTCTTGTCATCCATAATCTTCAGTTGTAAATATTTGTATTCGTAAGATTGGTTTATGCTTATTTATTAAACTTACAATAAGTAATTGTTCTAAATTTGAGCTTGCAAAATTTATACTAAATCCATCTAATGTTTAAATGTCATAGTGCTCTTACATGTTTTATATGTTGGGGTTTCACATAAAATTTTATTTGAAAAAGGATTCCAATTCTAAAAAGTTTGAACTCGACTGTACTAAACCTATTTTTTTTAAGGCCCCTAACCCCTCAACCTAAATGTGCTTGTATTCATGCAGATTTCATGAACACTGGAGGTTTGTTTTGCAGCGCTTGGTCTTCTTGGCAGCATTTGTTGTGTACTTGGAATCAGAAACACTAGTGACTCGAGAAGCAGTTACAGAAATTCTTGGCAGTAAGTATCTTCATTAGTGTTGATCTGCAGAGTCAGGCATGGTAGGTTAATTTTGGTGGGAGGGGCTATTGCTTATACTTTATATTGTTATAGCAAATGGCAACTAAATGGAAAACTGGTTATCTGAAAACACAAAAACTAAAATATGTAGTGGCTTGCTCTTTGTACTTGGGTGTTTGCTTGTAAAATACAGTTTTTAAAAATTTCAAGACTACAGAAAAGTTGAAAGAACAGTACAGTGAATACCTGTGTACAACCCCACTTAGACTCGCTGCTTGTTAACATTTTGCTACATCTGCTTAGTCTCCTCATTTCCTGTGTGTATGTGTGCATGTGTGCATTTGTGTGTGCTTGCAAACCATTTGAAAGTCAGTTGCAGATATGGCTTCTCCCTGCATCTTCTAAAAACAGAAATATTCTCTGACATAATTAGTTACTATTCTTTGTGGTATCACTTTTTGAGAGAAGAAGGGAAGGGAAAATCGAATTTTTTTTAAGAGCTTGAAAAATCCAGAGATCTAGTTGCCAAGGGTGTCAACACATTAAAAAGATACTTTTCAAAGACTCATCCTTTTTCCATTTACTTGAGAGAAATTGTGTGTGTGCGAGTGTGTGCACGTGCACACACACATACAATTTAAAAAAATTGTTAGGCTTAAATTGTGTTCACATCATGACTTTATCTTTACTTTGATATATTTTTAGTTGAGCCAGATCGGGAGAAAGGATTTCATCTGGATGTAGAAGATTATCTCTCAGGAGTTCTAATTCTTGCTAGTGAACTGGTGAGAAGCTTAGTAATTTGCCATTTGCTTTTTTTTTGTATTGTTTTTCATTGAGGTAACATTGGTTAATAACATATAAATTTCAGGTGTACAACATTATAATTTGTATTTATATACTCTATTGCATGCTCCTCACCAAAAGTCTAGTTTCCACCCATTACCATGTATTTGACCCCCTTCACCCATTTTGCTCTCCCCTCATCCTTCCTTCTGGTACCACCAATCTGTTGTCTGTATCTATTAGTTTTTGTTTTGTTTTGCTCGTTTGTTTTGTTTTTTTTTTTTAGATTCCACATATAAATGAGAGGATATGTTATTTATCTTTCTCTGTCTGACATATTTCACTTAGCGTAATACCCTCTAGGTCCATCCATGTTGTCACAAATGGCAAGATTTTGTTATTTATTTCATGGTTCAGTAGTATTCCATTGTATATATACCACATCTTTATTCATTCATCCATCTATGGATACTTAAGTTTTTTCCATATCTTAGCTATTGTAAATATTCAGTGAACATAAGGGTGCATAATCTTCTCAAATTAATGTTTTTATGTTCTTTGGCTAATACCCAGCACTAGAATTAGCTGGATCATATGGTACTTTTTGAGTAATCTCTATACTGTTTTTCATGGTGACTGCACCAATTTACATTCCCATCAATAGTGTATATTGGTTCCCTTTCCTCACATCCCCACCAACATTTGTTATTTCTTGTCTTTTTGGTAATAGCTGTTCTAACAGGTGTGAAGTGATATCTTATTGTGGTTTTGATTTGCATTTCTCTGATGATTAGTGATGTTGAGCATCTTTTAATGTGTCTGTTGGCCATCTGTATGTCTTCTTTGGCAAAAACGGCTGTTCCGACCATTGCATATTTTTTGATCAGGTTTTTTTGTTGTTTGTATTGTATGAATTTATATATTTTGAATGTTAAACCCTTAGTGGAAATATCATTTGCAAATATCTTTTCCCATTTGGTTGGTTGCCTTTTTGTTTTATTGACAGTTTCCTTTGTTGTACAAAAGCTTTTTAGTTTGATGTAGTCCCATTTGTTTATTTTTGTTTCTGTTTCCCTTGTGTTTGGAGTCAAATTCACAAAAACACCGAGACGGATGACCAGAAGCTTAGTGCCTATGTATTGTTTATGTATTTTGTTCCAGATCTTACATTCAAGTCTTTAATGTATTTTGAGTGAATTCTTATATATGGTATAGGATAGTGATTTAGTTTCATTTTTTTGCATAGGGCTGTCCAGTTTTCTCAACACCATTTATTGAAGAGACTTTTCCCTCTCCATTTTATATTCTTGGCTCCATTGTTGTAAATTAGTTGTCCATATATGTGTGGGTTTATTTATGGGCTCTTGATTCTGTTCCATTGGTCTGTTTTTTTCTGCCAGTACCCTACCCTTTTGACTACTGTAGCTTTGTAGTATAGTTTGAAATCGGGTAGTGTGATACTTCTGGCTTTGTTCTTTTTTCTCAGGATTTCTATTTGGAGTCTTTTGTGGTTCTGTACAAATTTGAGGATTTTTTGGTTCTATTTCTGCGAAAAATGTCATTGGGATTTTGATAGGGATTGCATTGAATCTGTAGATTGCTTTAGGTCATGTGGATATATATTTGTTTATATAAAGATTTTATTGGGGAATTGGGGGAGGGGAACAGCGTTGGGGAATCGGAAAAGGGGAACAGCCAGCGACTCACAGCAGCCCAGCTCCAGGTCGAACTGTTGTTCACCATCTTAGCTGTAGAGGGCACAGCATCACTGGCCCGCATATGGGCTCCAAACCGGGACCCTACTGCTCAGAGCTGGCGTCCCAAGCCAACTCCTAACCAACGCGCCACTCGGCTGGCCCCCTGGTCATGTAGATATTTTAACTGTTAATTCTTCCAATCCATGAATCGAGAATATCTTTTCAGTTTTTTGTGTCTTCTTCAATTTGTTTGAAGAATGGCTTGTACTTTTCAGTGTAGGTGTTTCACTTCCTTTTTTGTTTATTCCCAGGTACCATATTTCCCCATGTATAAGACACAACCTTTTTCAAAAAATTTGGAGTATAAAAACTGGGTGCATCTTATACAGTGGTTGTAGATTTCAAATGCCATAGATGGAACTGAGGACGAGGCAATATATGAGGACAGTGATTCATCATCGGACACAGATGAGGACAAGCTAATGGTTGGGAGTTTTGACAGTGATGAGGAGTTGTGTGAATTTTATGATGAATAAAACTTGAGTTCAAGTACTTTATGTAATACATTTTTTTTCAAATTTTGGGCCCCAGAATTAAGATGAGTCTTATACATGGGGAATACGGTATTTTATTCTTTTTGCTGCAATTATAAATGGGATTGTTTTCTTCATTTCTGTTTCTGATAGTTCATTGTTAGTATACAGAAATGCAACAGGTTTCCGTATATTGATTTTGTATCCTGTAACTTGTATCCTGTTTTTGTTTACTATTTCTAATAGGTTTTTGGTGGAATCTTTAGGGTTTTCCATATATAAAATGATGTCATCTGCAAATAGTGATAGATTTACTTCTTTCTTTTTAATTTGGATGCCTTATTATTTTTTTTTTCTTGCCTAATTTTTCTGCCTAGGACTTATAGCACTATCTTGAACAAAAGTGGCAAGGGTGGGCATCTTTGTCTTGTTCCTGATCTTAGAGGAAAAGCTTTAAGTTTTTCACTGTTGAGTATCATGTTAGCTATAATAGATGACCTTTGTTATGTTAATGTGCTTTCCTTCTATACCCATTTTATTGAGAGATTTTTGTCATAAATGGATGTTGTATCTTGTCAAATGTTTTTTGTGTATTTATTGAGATGATTATATGATTATGTCCTTTATTTTGTTAATATGTATCACACTGATTTCCAAATGTTGAACCATCCTTGCATCCCTGGAATGAATCCCACTTGATCATGGTGTATGATCCTTTTAATATATTGTTTGACCGTCTAGTATTTTATTGAGGATTTTTGCATCTGTGTTCATCAGAGATATTGACTTGTCATCTTTTTTTGTGTTGTCCTTGCCTGATTTTGGTATCAGGATAATGTTGGCCTCATAAAATGAGTTAGGAAGCATTCATTCCCACCTCTTCAGTTTTTGGAAGAGTTGGAGAAGGATAGGTATTAAATTTTCTTAGAATGTTTGGTAGAATTCACCAGTGAAGCCATCTGGTCTTGGAGTCATTTGCTTTTTTGATCTTCCCGCTTCACTGTCATTTTAAAAAATGGATACAAAAATTCAGAAAGTATGATTCTTTTATAAGCCATCTGTTTATCACCAAATAGTCATTGACTGTGCATTGTATATGTTATGTTTTGCTAGTCATCAGAGAAATGCCAGTTCTAACGATGAGGTAATTGTGTATATTTACTAATGTGTGAATTTTTAAAAGACAATAATACCTCTTTGTTTCTAAGTAGTGGCAAAATATATATTCTTGGGTAACTGTGTTAGTTCATATAATTTTTTTGAGAACAACTTAATTATATAACTACATGAATTATTCTTGCTTTTATCCCTGTAGTCTCTTTCCTGAGAAACTTATATAAAAATAATTCCAAAGGTGAAAACAGTTATAAGGGTATTCACTATAGGCTTACTTGTATTTATGAAAAATTGTGGACTATAGGAACGCCAACAAAAGGGGAATGATTTCTTAAATTATTAAGTAAGTTAGTGGTAATGTTAAGCAGTTGTCAACAATGTAATTATGAAGGACAATATGGAAAAGTTTTGTGGCCTGAGGGTCTTGTCGTTGTGATTCGGAGGCCATGCTTGGAGGAGCCATGTTGTAATGCGTCCCAGTTTCTCTTTCCCTGTGTAGTCAAGGCTGTCTGTCAACAGCGTGACTGCTGGAGACTACTCCCGGCCCCTTCACATCTCCACCTTCATCAATGAGCTGGATTCCGGTTTCCGCCTTCTCAACCTGAAAAACGACTCCCTGAGGAAGCGCTATGACGGCTTGAAGTATGACGTGAAGAAAGTAGAGGAGGTGGTCTATGATCTCTCCATCCGGGGCTTCAATAAGGAGACAGCAGCAGCTTGTGTGGAGAAATAGGAGGCTCCTCCCTGACCCGGCCCTGCTGACCTCCACGGTTGCCAGGGAGGGTGAGCTCAGTGCCACTCACTGTAGTTACGATGCCCTGTTGCTAAACACCATGCTTTCTTTTCTTAGCCAGTTGTGTGCTGTATGTATCAGAATTGAAACACTTTTTTTGGGAGTAAAAGAACAGTCTTTACAAAGACAGATTTTTCTTTGTTGTTTCAGTGAATTTGCTCTGTAATTCAGTGTATTTCGGTTCTGTCATAAAGTGTAAATGTCAATCTCTTGGTAAAGTTCATTTCTTGCTTACCCCAATGGTGTTGATGTACTGTTTGAAAAGTTTATTGTCTTGCTTGTGACTCTTCCAGAAGTGATCCTTGATATTTTCTATATCCAGATTAGCCATTCATACACAGGCCTAGTAGGATACAGTATAAAATAGATAATTAAAAAGGATGATTATCAAGCAAATGACACTTATTTTATATTTTCCTTCCTTATTTTAAGCCTGTTGAATAAATCAGATGTTGACATTTTTTGCAAGGGAGTTTTAGCTCTAGGGTTCTCTCTCACTGCCATCAAAATATAGAATTAAATTGCAAAGTCAAGTTCAACAGATTATTTTGGGAAATTTTTATATTAAAAGATTGAGTAACACTGTATATTTGGCTGTATTTACCAGGTGTCTGGGTTAGGGCTTAGTGTTTAAAAACATCTCTGTTTCCTCATGTTGCCTTAACGTTTTGCTATTGCAAGCAATTACAAATTGTTTTCACACACACCTTGAACTAACACTTCATGTGATACATTTCTAAGATAGGAAACTTTTTTCCTAGTAGCCAGCTAGACCGTGTGGCCTGGGAGTACAAGGCTGCCCAGTCAAGTGAATTAGCAATACCCTGACTGCTATGTTCTGAGAGGAAAATGCTGTGCTTTGTCTAGGAGAAAGAAAGCCTTGGGTTAAAAAAAAACTCAGCTGATTTGGTAATTTTTTTAGAGTAAGCAGTTTCAAGTTGTTGATGACCCTCCCAACAGTCAGGTTTTAGATTTACAGTTTTGGGGAAGTCATGTAAATCTTGTTGGCACCCTCCTCCCCTTCCCCATTTTCAGGTAGTACTAAGAATATTTGCCATGTCGTTTCTGCTGTTGAATTGAAATTATTAAAATGGTGACAATCCGCAGTTTTTTGGAGCTCACTGAAAGGAAAGTGCTAATGTTTCCAGAATAATCTGAAGTATTTAGCTGTATCGCCTTTTCGTGCCTGATACCAGTTTGCGCTTTGTTTGTACAGTGGGAAATTTGGCATTGCCATCAGAGCTTTTATCAGGCTGAGTGAAGGACCAAATTTTCTGTCCTGAGGAAAGAAGTAGAAGTGAGGCCTAAATTGCTATGCATTGTTGGATTTTAGAAAACTGTTCTTTGACAGCTCTTCCTGCAGAAGAGTTTGTAGGAAGATCAAAGGTGTTAAGGATCTTTGATGTGCCTAGGATGGTCATCTACTGTGTGGTAACAACACTGCTGGGATTGAGCATAAAAGGCTTTTAATGACATGAACAGACATGCAGTGAGTTCGATAACAGTTTTCTTTGCCTCTTTAAGTACCGCTTCTGCTTGAGAATATTAAATTCTTGGCAGAAGGTGTGGATTTCAGTTTTAACAAATGCATTCTAAGTGTAAGAACACACTGTCTTATAAAGCTCCCTTTGAGAATGTAGAAGTGTCCTGTTGATAATTATTCATTTGTATTTGTTGCTGGCTTGTTGTAAAGCAATAAAACCAGGGTTATTTTTTGGGGGACAGGGTGCGGTGTTTTTGTAATTTAGTGTGCTGCTGTGAGAACTCTTCTATATGAGAGAATAAATTCTGAGTGTTGTGTGAGGCTGAAGAAGACCAAGGTGATAAGCACATGCTGCTCTGTAATAGTTAAAATAATCAAAACACAGCAAGAAGCACTCAGAGTTCTGTGCTGTAAAGTGCAGGTACCATTTGTGTGGTTACCTTGATTGGGAAATTATAAATATTTTAACTGAAGTTGAGAAGAATTGGCGCTGGTTTTAGTACACCAAAATTGCTTTATTCAGTTTTAGAAAATCAAACAGGTTAGAGAAAGTTCAGATGAATTAGTGGATGCTTTCTTTGTAGACTTATTCATAAGAAGAGAACCCCATAAAAACATAAGATTTGCCCTGTCTTAAACTTGAACCATAATATGAATAATGCTTAAGAGAATCTAATAAAAAATGAAACCTTCTTTGGCAGTGTCCTGAGACCCTGGCTTAACCAAGTGGCTAAAGTTGAATATGCAGGCTGCTACTGGCATAATTTCATAATTGTACACTCACAAATGACAGCTCTCTTGTTTCTTGGTCTGGACTAAACTATTTGTCCTCTTCAGGTAGAGCAGCATTGTCATGGCTGACACCAAAATAAGACTTTCTGAGCCTGAAATAGTTTTTCTTAGTATTCATTGTAATAAGCATTAATCAAATAAGAATAAACCATCTCCCCTCCCACAAACAACAATAACAAACATTTAAGTGAGGTGAAATTGACTGGACTGTTTGAGTGAATGAGGATGGGGTTGGGAGAGGGAAGAGCTGGTTTAATAGGCAGGTTTCTGATCTGGGTGACTGAGTAGATTGAGGTGCTGTTAACCGAGGTAGGGGTTGCAGGAGGAAATGCATGTCTGGAGAGGGCTTAACGGATGGTGCATTTGCTTTTGGATGTGTTGGATTTATGATACCTGTGGAGCAGCTAGGTCCAGCAGGACTTTGGGTATGAGGAAAACCGTGCAGCCTGGAGATAGCTTTGGGTAGCCTTAGCGTATATGCGGTAGCTAAATTAGGAGAATGGATAAGGTCTCCTCAGAGAGTGTGCAGAATGAGAAGAGGAATGAGCTGTGGACAAAACCCAGGTAACAGGGTTTAGTGAGTTAGGTGGAGGAAGTAGAGTTCATGAGGAAATAGGGAAATAGAGAGGTCGACAGAAAAAAGGGAGAGTGGCTTGTCAAGAAGCCAGGGGAATAAAGGGTCTTTGGAAGGTTTTTTGGGGTGAAAGATTTAAAGTACATAATTTCATAGCCCAAGAGCCATGTGACTTTGTCAGGCGAGGCTAGATTATGCTGTGGTAACAACCCCCAAAACTCACAGTCATAGAACACTCCCTGCCCATCCGGGCATCTGTTCCACGTCACCTAGGCCAGAGCAGCCACCAGCTGGACCATTGCTAATTGCGCTGGGAGACGGAAAGCACTGTGGAGGGTCTCAAACATGCTCTGGTTTTGGAAGTGACATGTCACTTTCGTAGTTTGTTGGTTAGAACTGGACATGTGACCCTGCTAAACACCAAGGGGGCCAGGAAGTGAAATCCCACCTTGGAGAGGAGGTGGAGAGTCAGAGAAACTAAATGTTGAAAGTTGTGTTCAATGTTTAGCTCCTTTTGTTAAGTGGTAAGTAGTAGCATTTCTGGTCGTACATAAACTTCAGTAGCTTGGGCCGGGCCGGTGTGGTGGTGGTGGGGGGAGATGTCCCAGGGCCACTCTTAAAAATTTTTATAATTTTAAAATTTATTTTCAATTGTAGTTGATACAGGGCTACTCTTGCCTGGTGGATGACAATGAGGTTAGATCAACCTGTAGTTGTCCTCTCTGTTGTTGAAGGTTGTTTCCTGTTTGAAAGAGATTTCTCTGGTGCATGTGCATTTGTGGTCGGGTTTGTGTTATTCATGTTCCAAGCACTCGGCTGAACATTTTATCCAGACCACCTCATTTCATCTTCATAACAATCCTATAAGGGAGCGACCTTTTTTTTTTTTTCCCCCATTTTAGACCTGGGGAGTAAGCTTAGGGCAATTAACATGGCTCTGAGCGCATAGCTATGAAGTGGAGGAACTGCATTCAGACTTCCACATACGCCATTTCTTTCTTGATAACTCTTGATGGCATCACTCCATAGCCTGACAAAGGTAAAAATAAAGTCTACAAATAGTTATGAACACAGTGTATAGATAGCTTTGGATTACGTGCAACTTATATTAAAAATTAGCATAAAAAATAAGTGGGGGACTTGGTCTGTGTCCTCAAGATGTTTAGCATCTAATTGCAGGGGAGGGTGATGAGAAAAGTAAAAAACAGGTAAGAAATTAAAACTTTTTTTTTTTCAGATTTTTATTGGGGAATGGAGGGAGGGGAACAGCATTGGGGAATCGGGGAAGGGGAACAGACAAGTTGCTGTCCTTTGGTTCTTCAGTCTAGTTGTGGAGGACATCGCTTCACTGGCCCATGTTGTTATTATCATTGCGCTCTTCCCCGGTGAGGCAGTTGCTCCCCGGACATTGGAAGGCTGCTCATGGCAGCTCACAGCGGCTCACGAAAGCTCATGCCTGCTGCCATCCAGCCCCACTGCAGCCTTCGCTGTCACCTCACAGCAGCCCAGCTCCAGATCGAGCTGTTGTTCACCGTCTTAGCTGTAGAGGGCGCAATGTCACTGGCCCTCATGTGGGATCGAAGCCGGGGCCCTGCTGCTCAGAGCTGGCATCCCAAGCCAACTCTTAACCAACGCGCCACTCTGCTGGCCCAAGAAATTAAATATTTAATTAATATTTGAGCACCTACTATAAACGTTTTAACGGCTTTATTGAAGTGCATTTTACATATAAAATTATATCAAGTATACGATTCAGTGAGTTAATTTGCCAAGTGGTGCAACAATCCCAGTAAATCAGTTTTAGAACATTATCACCCCCAAAGAGCGCTCTTCCCACTCCCAGCCACAGGTAACCACTATTCTATTTTCCTTCTCTATAAATTTGCCTTTTTTGGATATTTCCTATAAATGGAGTCATACAGTACAAGGTCTCTTGTGTCTTTTCACTTAGCCTAATGTTTTTAGGGTTCATCCGTATTAGTAATTTGTTCCTTTTGATCCTGAGTAGGATTCTATTACATGGATATTCCACATTCTACCCATTCATCAGATGAAGGAGCTTTAAGTCTCTATGTTTTGGCTATTAGGAATAATGCTGCTGTGAACATTCTTGTGCATCTGTGTGTGAATGGATATTTCTGTTTCTCTTTGATAGATACCTAGGAGTTTATGGTAAAAATGGTAGTTTTATGTTTAGCTTTTTAGGAAACTGCAGGTCTGTTTTGTCATCAGCAGTCTCTGAAGGTTCCCTACTACGAATTAAAATTCAAGATGCTAATAGACAAGATGTCATCATAATAACAGTACTTAATTTCAAATAACTTGTGAACAGCTGTAGGAATTTAGGTATAAGTTGAACTGGTTCATGAAAGAAGTAGGATTTAGATAAGCATGGAATTAGGAGGTAAGAATAGAACTAGGTCATTTTGGATAGATGGAATAACAAACCAAAGCGGTAATGTATCATACATTTAATGGGGATGGGAATGTCACCTGTCTGAATGGAGGGGACATTCTGGCGAGGTTGGATTGTTCGATTTAGAAAAGCCTGAATTGAGAGGTTAGGGAATTTGGACCTTGACTAATAGGCATTGGGGGACTGTAGGTTTTTTTGAAGAGCAGAAGGTGCAGCTGTGGTCACACAGCCATTGCTTTGAATCCTGGCTCTGTCATGTTATCAAGGGGAGAGGCCAAAGGTAGGGAGACCTGTGAGGAAGCTCTCGCTATGAGGTTGTTACAAGGGTCAGCTTGGGTAGCTGGTGATAGGCACGACTGGGTAAGGTACAGGAAACACTGCACAGGAATAGTTGAGTAAGTGAGCTGATTGGAGTTGGGGGTAGAGGGATTCTATGGGCTGAATGGTTATGTCCCCCCCAAATTCATATATTGAAACCTAATCTCCAATTGGATGGTATTAGGAGATGGGGCCTGTGGGAGGGAGGTGATTAGGTCATAAGGGTGGAGTCTTCATGAATGGGATTAGTGCTCTTATAAAAGGGACCCAGGGAGCTTTCTGCTCCTCCACCATGTGAGGACACAGCCAGAAGAGGGCTGTCTGTGGGCCAGGAAGTGGGCCCTTGCCGGACACCGAATCTGCCGATGCCTTGGGCTTGGACTTTCTAGCCTCCACAACTGTGAGAAATACATTTCTATTGTTTAAGCCAACTAGTCTATGGTATTTTTGTTACAGCAGCCCAAACAGACAAAGACAAGGGAAGAAGAGTTGAGAGGAGTCAAGGTGCCTGAACTTCTGAAAGAGTTAAACATGCAAAAGTTGGAGCTATTTGGGGGTGGGGGGCAGGTGAGAAGTTGTTTTGCTAGTGTTGAGTTTGATCGCGTGAGATTACACAGGTGGCTGTACTTTTGGGACTAGATTTAGGACCCTGAAACTGGAGATGAGGGAGTCCTTCAGGTAGAGTGGATGGAGCAGGTATTTGAATCGATGACTACGGCGGAGCTTTTGAAAAGAGGAAGAGGAGTGGAGAGGTCTGTAATAGTAACCAACCTAGGGAGCCTGTGGAGGGGATTGAAGACACAGAGGTGAAGATAAGAGAGGAGCCTTGTGTGTGTCATTCTCTAGTTCATACCTGTCCAAGTAGGAGCTGGGATTGATAGAAATGCGATATTTGCACACTGCTGCTTTATATCGCCATAGAAATCCTTTAAAGACTAGGGTTTTGGGCTGAAGGAAAATAAATCTGAAAATACATAGAATTCACAGACAAGAAAGTTGGGCTTGTTAGTTACACCCTTTGTCATTTTTTTTTCTCATTCACCCTGCCCCTTATGTTAGTTACTCATGATCATCTTGTGTTGTTTAATATTAATTAACGTTTACCCACAGCCATCTGCTCCGGCTGGAGCTCTGCCTTTGTCTGTTTGGCTGTGTGTTGCACTGGCAGGATACTGGCCTCGCTATCTGCATGTACCAGCAGCACCTGCCAGTGAGACCAGCTCAGAAGGCAGCAAAGACTCCCCTGTGGCTTCCTTTGTCACGTCCCTGGTGTTAAACCTGCCACTGATGAACGTTTTGCTCGCTGACAATTGATAGGAAGCCAGAGTATTTTTCACTGGGAAATATAAATGGCTGGGTGTTTTGTGTTTGCTTTCTGGGGGAAGACTGCAAGATTGTTTCAGTTATTAAGGGGTTATTTTGGGTGTAGAATCAGTGGATTGGGCCTTCTGCTTTAATAAGAAACGAATCAGACCCAGAACTGACAACTAAGCCAAAGTGTTAAAATAAGACTAAAATCAATACACTTTAAGGCTTAATTTCTTTGCACCCAGAAGTTAACTTTCAAATTCCTAAGAGGAAGAACAAAGGATCAGAGGGATGAAGCCAGGTTCTGTGCCCAGCAGAGCTTGGCCATGTGGCTGAGTGAGCATTTGCATGCCTTACCTGCAGGCCCAGCCCTCAAGGGTTAGGACATGACTTCATCCTGTTTAACCGAAATGGCTAAATGGGCACCTGGGTTATGGGGCTGTGGATTGCCTTGTGTCATCAAGCACCTCTACCCTTTCCTTAAACTGAAAACAATCTGGAAATATGAATACCCCTGTGTTTCCAAAAGATCCTCACTGAGGAAAAACAAAGAAAAAGGGAATGGGGTTGGCACAAGCATTTTTTGAGCTGACTTTAGAAGAACTTTGACTTTAATCCTCATATATTTTATACATATTGGAAGGAGAGAATAGATGATACTGCCTGGTGTTCACTTAAAGGTTATATGATAGGTGTTGCTGAGATACTTTGAGGAGTATGTAAATGCATGCCATTGCTTTATGATACATGTTATATATTTTCTCTTTCGACTTGTGTTACTTTTGTGATTATAGAAGAAATAGGGAAGTATTGTAGGAAATTGGGAAATTATAAAAAATCTTAAAGATGGTAATATATATTTTTTTGTGTTGTGGTTTATCCTAGATACACTACTGACTTTTTGAAAACGTTATTTTGAGGTAACTGTGGATTCTTCTGTTAACTTCTGATCAGCATGTTATCAGTTAGCTAACCGCTGAGTGAACGAGTAGCCGTTCTCTCCTGAACTCCTGCCATGGTCCAGGTGGAGACTTGCATCTCCAGTTCTCAGCAAGCTCTGTGGAGATGCTCAGGTTCTGCAGTCAAGCTCTGTCCTTCAGCAGCACGTTTTACGTTGCACCTTTTGTACAAAGCTGGCATTGAAACACACATACTATAATTAGATACTCCTATGAGATAAGAAAAATGTTTATGTCACTTTCTGCTTTGTCAAAGTACTTTTACATTCACCACATCATCTGACTTTCAGAGCTGCCCTATGACACGTTCTGTGTGGAAACGTAGGAGGTTAAGGCCCAAACACAGGAGGAGGAGCTTTTCCCAGGCTTCACTTGCTTCCTTCCTTAGCCGTCTTCTCGCTGCTGTCACCCACTTGCAGGCTGATCGGCTTGTTCTCTGGTCTTGAGTTCTGATCACCACTTTGTCACCTCATCGTCAAGGGTGCAAAACTGATCTTGGGCTGCTGTGGAAAACAGTCTGGCAGGTCCTCAAAGAGCTGACCACAGAGTTACTGTGTGACCTAGCAGTTCCACTCCTGTGTACATATGTGAGAGTTGAGAACATGTCTATATGAAGACTTGTACAGGAATGTTCATAGCAGCATTATTCATAATAGCCAAAGAGTAGAAATAATCTAAATGGCCATCAACTAGTAAATGGATAACAAAATGTGGTTTATCTACACAATGGAGTATGATTTGGCAGTAAGAAGTAATGAAGAACAATAAGTCCTCACTTAACATTGTAGGTTCTGTGACTTGTGAAATGACACATTATAATGAAACCAATTTTACCACAGCTGATATAAACAAGAGTTAACTTTCTACAGCATGTTATCAACATTATAATGAAATGTTATTCGAGGACCTACTGTACAGATAGATCCATGCAACGGCATGGATAAACCTTGAAAACATACTAAGTGTTGAAAACATACTAAGAAGCCAGTCACAAAAGACCATGTAATATGATTGATTGATTCCATTTATATGAAATATCCAGAATAGGGAAATCTACAGTGACAGAAAATAGGTCAGTGGTTGCCATGGGGGGTGGGAAGGGGACAATGGGAGTGACTGCTAATGGATGTGGAGTTTATTTTCAGGGTGATGACAATGTTCTGGAATTAGATAGTGGTGATGGTTGTGTAACTTTGTGAATACACCAAAAAGCGAACTGTACAATTTAAAAGGATAAATTTTTTATAGTATGCGAATTACATCTTAATAAAAAAACTGACTTGCTATTTACCTTCCCAAATGCTGGTTGTGATTTCTCTGTCTGTACCAGTGGCACTGTGGGGACACACACCGACTGCCAGGTCCCATGCTGGGGGTTACATGCAGTGTTTGATCTAATCTGCCCAACAGTGTTTGTGTGGGCCAGTATCTCCATTTAAAGAGGAAGAAACTGAAGTTTGGGGCACAGGGGTGCCTGCTTGCTGCCCTCCAGTCAGCCTGTGGTTCAGACCCAGCTCAGCCCGACTAGCCCCAAGCGTTTCCCAAACCTCCCACCGCCTCTCTGCCATTCAGTCCAAACACCTGGGAGCAGCTCTAGCTCTTCCTTCTCCCTTGCCTCTCCACCCTCCACCTGTCCCTAAGTAGTCCACCTCCTAAATGCCTCGTAGGCCTGTTTACTGCTTTCAGTTGACTCTGCCACTTTCCTAGATGAAAATGCCATCACATTATCAGGACTGTTCAAGAGCCCATCAGTGAGTGACTTGTCTTCCAAACTGTCACGTCTCTTATCTGCCCAGTGCACAGCTGCCACATAGTGTTGTGAAGTGTGATTCTGATCCCTTGTCTGTTGCAAAACACTCAATGGCTACCTGTGTTCTAATGGATTGAGTATATACTCCTTAGGCTGGCATCCGAGGCTTTTGACAATAGTGCTTCTCAGTCTCCGCGCCCACTCCTCCCTGCGTATCCTCGAACACTATGCTCCCTGGAGCACAGCCACAGCAGGCTAGAGTTCACAGAAGGCTCCACTGACCACTCAGGAGAGAAGCATACCTTGACGTTCAAATGGGAAACGTTCAGAGGCCGTAAGAGCTTCTCAAATCGGTGAGTAACAAAAGAGCAGTGATTTTCAACTGGGGCCAGTTTTGTCCCCCAAGGGACATTGGTCAGTGTCTGGAAATATTTTGGGTCATCACAACTGGGGGAGGGCAGTCTACTGGCATCTAGTGGCTAGAGGTCAGGGATGCTGCTAAACATCCTACAATGCACAGGACAGTTCCCACAACATAGAATCATCCAGTCCTAAATGTCCGTAGTGCCAAGGTTGAAAAGCTGCTAAAGCAAATAATTTTACTCTTTCAACGTGGTGAAGAATAAGTGAAAACACTAAGTGATTTCAGATGTGTAATGAAAATCCCTGTGTGTCAGTGATAGAGCAATACTGGAAGGCCATTCCTGAGGTGGGCTGAGCAGAGGATAAGTTCGTTCACCAATTAAATGCTCCGCGCTCACGTCCGGGCCCCTCGCCCCAGCATCACAACCCTACACTTCAGTGTATCGTAGCTTGTGGGACCTTGAGTTATGATTATTTACTTGTCTTCATTTACTTGTCTGCATTCCACACCGGGCCTGAGCTCTTCGCGGGCAGGGTTGTGTCTTGCCCTTCATTGAATTAAAATCCCTTGCACTAGTGCCTAGCGTGTAAAAGAGGCTCAACAGATATTTTTAGATTGAATGACTAGAAGAACAACATAATTCATATTTTATCTCAGCAAAAGGAAAAAGCATTACTCTTTGTGGACTCTTAGTCTTTGGAGATGAAACAGGATGCTAGCCCCTCAAATGTCAAAATCCTTTCTGTAAGAACAGAGTATAGCACTATTGGGACACTGATTTCATGCCTCACCCCCTCCTCTCAGCCTCTTATATTAGACTGCAGTTATAGTGGGCTGTTGCCTCCATAGGAAGATGGATGGGGAGGGGCTGCGGAAGAGACCCTAGGGAGGAGCTGAAGGATCCCGTACCCTCAGAAAAGATGGGGGGCAGAATCAGATAAAGAAATTCGACGATGTCAATATTTAGATTGGGGTCAACCATGGAGGTGTTGGGGAGAGACTTGGAGAGAAGAATCAGGGTGAAGTTAGATGTTCAGTTCTCAGCTTGTATATATGACAGCTTGGAGCTGTCTGCTCCCATTAATTGAGGAACTGATGTAAAAAATCCACATAAATTTTGTGGAGTTCCAAGATTACTGACACCCTTGACACATTGAGGTGGCTTTCTTCCTGGGTATATCCTGCAGGATAGGCATCTGATAATTCCTTATGATTAGTTAGAAGCCTTTAGTTGCAAGAATTACAAATCATAAAAAGGAATTTATTGGAAAGATGTAGAACAGCTCACAGAAGCTACTGAAAAACTATGAGCTGTATTTTTTTTATTATAGTTGAATATACATAAAATTTGCCATTTTAACCATTTTAAAGTTCTGTGGCATTCCCCTTCTTGTACAACCATCACCCCATCCGTCTCCAGAACTTTCCTATCATCCTTAACTGAAACTTTGTACCCGTTAAACACTCCCCAGCCCCCTACCCGCAGCCCCGGCAACCACCAATGTACTTTCTGTCTCTATGAATTTGATTATAGGTGCCTCATATAAGTGGAATTACAACGATCAAACAATGATTACTGTCCTATGTCTATTGTTTTTAGGAAAATTTTTTCCTCAACTTTACAAAGCAATAGAAGATCATTAGTAAATTTAAAAAATATAGGAACCTGTAGAAAATAAAATAAAAATCTTATTTTCGCCACCTAGAGGAAAGCATTGTTCAAATTTTAGTTTATGTTTTTCTGATTTTTTTCTCTGTCTCTATAAAGAGTAATATTGATACTCTGTACAAAGTTTCCAGTTTTTCATTATTGCAAATAATTGTGTTATGTGTACAATCTTTGATTGCATTTCTGAGGTTATTTCTTTGAGGACAGATAGATTCCTAGAATTCATATTCTTGCACTAAGAAAATAAATACATTTAAGGCTCTGGATACATAATTTTAAGTTGTTTTCCAGAAAAGTCCCAGTTATGCTACCACCAACTGTATGCAAAAATGGCTGTCTCTTCACATTGTCACTAACATAGCTATGGGGCCCAGCTGTCAGGGCCTCTCAGTTAGGAAATGTTTACAGGCTTTGGAGACTGGCCTGCCCCTGCCTCTTGGGTAGGACAGAGGGAAACAACTTGTTGCTGTACATTTGATGTCAATTATAAGCTTCTGTCCTGTGCGCATGTGTGCTGGCACCATGCTGCTGTTGTTTGTATGAGGGGATAAAAACCCCCGCTCCCATTTTGGAGCTTGCTCTCTCTGGCCCCGCTCGGATGAAAAAAGAGCTGTTGCTGCATTTATGGCACACAGTCTGTCTCGTGCCTTCTTTCAGCTGGGCATCTCTCCACCCAGATGTCCCTGATTGACATCTTTGGACCCAACAATAGCTTATTTTGTTTAAAAAAATTTGCCTACTGATGAGAAAAATTCTGAGATGTCCTAAATTAAATTACAGTGGGCCAGAGGGTGGGAAGAAGAGACAATGAGTTAATCAGTTAACAGAGCCATGGGCAGAAACCAACAAAAAACTGCTCGCATTCCTGGATGTATGTTGAAACTTTGAATCAACTTCCAGGCGGCTATTTAAGCTCTTATCTGAAAAGGTGTAGCCAACTACCAGACTCTGGACTGTTGCCCACCACCCATTGCCCACCACCCAGCACTTCATACTTACAGGCTGTGCAACCTGTCCCGGAGCTAGCCCTGCTTCACCCTTTCCTGCCCTTGTTACCTATAGCCAATGTAAATTCTTTCAAAACATCATATATCTTTATTCTCCAAACTCATATTATAAAAGAGCCCTGTCAGTCCCAGCACAGCAGACATGTTTGCCTTGTGCATCTGGCTCTGCTGCTGGTGGTTTAGATTGCATGCCCCAGGACCTGGTCCTTTTCCTGGCTAGAAGATGGCTCATTAAGCCCTTTCTTTCAGAAAAGCTTTGGCCTCGAAAGTTTTTGTTTAACATTACTTTTACCGATGTATCTTTATTTTAAGCCATTTTATTACTTATCTTTTCCTTAATACCAACATCTAAAACTATCCATTATTAATATTTGTGTTGTTCTAAATGTTGCATAAAATAGAATCATATTATACATTCTCTTGTAAATTGCTTCTTTTAATTTAGAAATATATTGTGGATCTTGGTTTCATTATTTTTTTGTATCAACTTTATTATTATTTAACACTTTATTAGCTAAAAATTACATCAGTAGTAATGCTCATTATAAAAATCCAAATAATTCATGAGTATGAAAATTAAAAATATTTATACTTTAATGACATTTTAAATGTAAATGTAAATATATAAGCATTATTTTTGTGAATTTTAACAATCTGTTCATATTATACATTTTATTTGCAACTTGCTTTTTCAATCAGCCAACATGTCAGACATATAGATTTGTCTAATTTTTCCCTTTTTAAAAAAATATTACATAATGGTTATAGTGTGGCTATGTAATTTAATCATTACCCCTTTCATAGACATTAAAGTGTCTTGAGTTTTTTCATATTATAATTACTCTAATTATATCCTACAACATAGTTTTAAAATGAAATCATAGAATGCATAAATGTTCCATAGTTTAATGCTATTGTTGAACATTTTGGTTATTTTCCTTTTCCATTTTTACTTTTTAAACAAATCTCTGGGAATGTCCAAATGTTGTCCTAGGATTCCTAGAGTGTGTTCATTTTAAAGCTTTTGCTTTGTATTATAAAACTGTCTTCTGGACAGGTTACTCTAATTTGCACTCCTATCATCTGCTAGCTTACTTACACTCTCCCCACCTGTGGGTTTTACATTTAGAAACAGCTTACTGACTACAGAGGAAATAATTAGCTTCGGTCCACTTTAATCACTTCAGATTAATGGTAGTATGCTGAGATTTCAGGCAATGAAGTCAGGACTTGTGGGCGCATGGGCTGGGATTTGCAATGACCTCTGACCCTTAGGGGCTAAGCTGGGGCCTCTTCCATCCCTCTCCTGAGGCTCAAGACCCCACGCACCCCATTTTCTGCTCTTGAGCTGGTTTCCTCACTGTACTCTCTTCTCTCCTATAAGCTAGGCCTGCCATGGTGCCCGACATGCATTTTTAGATTCACACACAGTCTCTTTTTTTTTTTTTTAAGATTTTTATTGGGGAATTGGGGAATGGGAACAGCGTTGGGGAATTGGGGGAAGGGGAACAGAAGTTGCTGTCGTTTTGTTCTTCAGTCTAGTTGTGGAGGACGTTGCTTCACTGGCCCAAGTTGGCACCATCATTGTGCTCTTCCCGGGTGAGGCAGATCAGTCGCCGGCTTCTGGACGGCCGCTCACTGCGGCTGCTGGCCGCTCACGCTGGCTGCTGGCTACATACGGTAGCCCATGACAACCCACTGCCACAGGGGCTGCAGCCTACACCGTCGCCGGCGACTCATGGCAGCCCAGCTCCAGGTTGAGCTGTTGTTCAGCATCTTAGCTGTAGAGGGCAGTGTCACTGGCCCTCATATGTGGGATCCGAACCGGGGCCCTCTGGTATCCCAAGCGAGTTCTTAACCATCGCGCCACTCGGCCGGCCCCACAGTCTCTTAATTAAATTATTTTAGAAAATGTTTAAGATGGAGCACATGTTTAGTAAAGTGTACAGATGAATTTTTACATGTGATCATTCTCAGATCAAGATATAGCCGGCAGCTCTCTCACGTCCCTTTCCTCTTCCAGGAGGGAACCACTCTTCTCATTTCCATCACCATGGATTTGTTTTGTTGAACTTCATATGCATGGGATCAAACAACAGGTACTTTTTTGTGTCTGGCTTCTTTTACCCATTATGTCTGCAGGATTCCACCATGGTGTTGTGTGAGGCAGAAATTCTTTTTTTTCTTTTTGTTGTGTACGTGTTCATAGCATGAATATGCTGCAATTTCAAAATCTATCCTCCTTCCAGTAGGCATTTGAGTTTCCAGCTTTTGGGTGCTGTAAACAAAGCTACTATGTACATTCTTGTATGTATTTTTAGGTGTGTGTGTGGGGACCTAGACCTAGGAATGGAATTTCTGGGTCATAAGATAAAGGCCAGTTCAGTTTGAGTGGGTGCTTCCATATTGTTTTATAAAGTGGCTGTACAGTTTTACCCTGCTCTTGTCAGCACATCAGAGTCCCAGCAGCTCCATGTTCTCACTGTCTCCGGGTGCTGGCAGCCTCTTATTTTAAGTCATCCTGATGGGTGTGTCATGATATCTCATTGGGGTTTTTATTTCCATCATCTGATGTGTAGTAATGTTGAGCACCTTTTCATACATTTATTGGGTATTTGGATATCCTCGTTTGTGAAATTGTGTCAGTCTTTTTGTTTTTTCAAAATTGGATTGCCTTTTTCATAGTAATTTGTAAGTTCTTTGTATGTTTTCTTTCTTTCTTTCTTTCTTTCTTTCTTTCTTTCTTTCTTTCTGTCTTTCTTTTTAAACTTTATTGGGGAACAATGTGTTTTTTGGGGGAACAATGTGTTTTTTCCAGGACCCATCAGTTCCAAGTCAAGTTGTTGTCCTTCAATCTTAGTTGTGGAGAGAGCAGCTCAGGTCCAAGTCCACTCGCTGTTTTCAATCTAGTTTCGGGGGGCACAGCCCACCATCCCATGTGGGAGTCGAACTGGCAACCTTGTTGTTAAGAGCACAAGCTCAAACCAACTGAGCAACCCGGCCACCCCCTGTATATTTTCAATATGAGTCCTTTGAGAGGGTAATGTGTCACAAATATTTTTTTTCTAATCTGTGACACTTGTCTTTTCACTCTCTTACTGGTGACTTTTACTGAACAGAAATCCTTTATTTTAATGTTATCAAATCATCAATATTTTATTTTATGGTTAATGCTTTTTGTATCCCTTTTAAAATATATTTGCCTGTACTTAGGTCATGAAGAGATATGCCTTCTTCTAGAACCTTTATTTTGATTTTCATGTGTAGGTCTTCAAACCATCTAGAATTAATTTTTTCGTGTGTATGGTGAGAGGCACGGTTAATTACATGGTGAGTGATAGAATCTGGTGGCTGCTGACCGGCGGCAGAATGGCTGGCCTTGGGCCAGGTGTCTGTCCCAGGCCTGATCTGCCATGGCGGCATGGAGGGAGGGGCACGTTCGCTGAGAGGACTCGGGTGGGTATGCTAAGCCTACCCAATAGGGCATGCTTTTCCTCTCTGAACTAGATTCTATTAAAATTATTTTGATCATAATGTGATGGAAATTTCCGGGTTGATCCTGGTTGAAGGTTTTACTTGTTTATCTTTTCTTCTGTCATTTGTAATACCCAGATCACATGGAAATATTATTTGCTTGAAAGTGGGACTCTTCAATTATCGACTGTGGGCTGTAGGGAAATACAAAGACACTTTTCTTCCTCTATTATTTGGAATATTAAGAGAGTTTCCTGGACACAGGCCTGCAGAGGTAAACACGGTAAGTAAACGAGAGTCTAACAAAGGAGCCTTAACTGGGAAGCTGCACATGTTGCTTGTGTGCGAGTGTCTTCTGTCTGCCCCTTACATCTCCCCCACCCCTCTCCCCATTGTCCTTCCTTGTGGGGTGCTCTGGCCAGCCCTCTGACTTGTGGTTGTGCTCAGTTGGGAGCACAGGCAGATCAGAGAGAGAGGAGATGGGAGGGTGCCTGTTCCTCTGGACCCTTGCTGCCTCGTCACTCTGGCTTGGCTGCAGTCCTCAAACGTCACACCTCTGCATGGAGCCCTTTCCACACAAGTTCTTTCCTATGTCCCAGCAACTGCTCTGTCCTGTTGTCCCTTCAGGTCTAAGGATGCCTGATGTGGCCTGTGGTTTTGCACCCCATGCCTTCATGGGTAGTTCTTTTATTAAACTCACTCCACATGATCCAACTTAACATGCCATCTATTTCCTCTGCGGACACTGACGTGTTTCACTTTCCCTCAGTTCTCATGTGCAGTATCTCTTCCAGGAAGGGGTCAGCCACTTTGATATACCTTGTTTAAGAGTTATGATCATAATCTCTTTGTCCCAGGAGAGAGGCCGTTTGGTATATGTATGCATGCCAAGGTCCTTGGGCCCCATTTGGGGATTGACTTTGAGGTCGCTATAATAGTGTAGTAGGCTATGGACCTTGTCTAGTGTAATCTCCATAAAATATCCAGAGACAGCTTCTCTTCTCTGCTGTGGAATGCCATCGATACCAGAAAGGATTAGATTACCTGCACAGAACAGAAACCGTAAGTAAGGGAGGCTCAAACACACCAGGCTCATTCTCTCACATAAAGTCAAGATGTTAGCAGTCCAGGCTGGTCCTCACCAAACAGTTATCAGGAACCTGAGTTCTGTCCTCAGCATGTGGGCCCTGCCTCCAAAGTCACTCTCAGGTCCACCTGAGACCTGGAATGTTTGCATTCCTGATCTGAGGAAAGGGGATGGGGGAAGGGCAAATGGAGCTCCCATCCCAGCTCATGTGCCATTGGACTGCTCTTCTAGATGCTCTGGCTCCAGCACGAGTACTCAGGGAACAAGGTAGACATTTCGCTGTGTTTTCTGACCTGGCCCTGGAGTCCCACAGTAACACTTCTGCCATGTTACAAATGAGCCATAACTTGCTTTGACTGAGGGGAGGAGAATTAGAGTTCGCTTCTTGATGTGGCACGCTTCTAGAATAACATGTGGGACAAGAGTACTGTTACATACCTTTTTGGAAAATGCAATCAGTCACAGCTTCCCTAAGTGCAGGGACTCTTGTGGGGACCCTGGAAACTCTTGTGTATGAACTTGTTACAGAAACATTGGTTCCTGTGGCACATAAGGCTGCTCTGCTAGCACAGCTCCTGCACCTGCCCTATTGAGGTCTTCTTTCCTGGCACCGAGCTGTCCCTGAGCTGGGATGGCCCAAGGACTGCTGGGTAGGCTGCCTGGAGGGCACGTCCACAGAGGGGACCAACGGTGTTCCTGCCCTGAGGCCTCCAGGAGACTGATTCTCTGCGTGGCCCATTGTTGGCTTGCAAGTCAGATGTTTAGTAGAAACTAAAAGGACCAGGTAGAAATTGTACCTTGAAATATAGTCTGTACAGGAGAGGCAGGTAACTGCTTGATTCTTTCCCTTTAATTATCAGTTTTCAAAATAGTGAGCTAATAATGTACTTGCAACACCCAAGGTCACCAATTAGAGTCTCCCTCAACTTTTCCTCCTTATTCTTAAAAAAAACCCAAAAAAACCCAACAGCCTTATTGAGGTATAATTAAAATAAAATAAAGTTCATTAATTTTAAGCATACACTTTTTATTAGTTTTGAATATAATTATGTAACCACTACCACTATCAAGATGTAGAACATTTCATAAGTCAGATGGAAAAAGTCAAGAACCATGTAATTTCACTCATATGTGGGAAAGCAACAAATGAACAAGACAAAGAAACAAAAACTCATAGACACAGACAATAGTTTAGTGGTTACCAGAGAGTAAGGGGGAAGGGAGAATGGTAGAAGAGGGTAAGGGGGTCAAATATATGGTGATGGAAGAATTGACTCTGGGTGGTGAACACACAATTCAATATACAGGTGATGTATTACAGAATTGTATACTTGAAACCTATATAATTTTATTAACCAATGTCACCCCAATAAATTTAATAAAAAAACGAAGGTTTCTACCAACGCTTGTTGTCCTCTGCTGTCAGTCCCCTCTCTGAATGCTGGCCACTGGCAGCTGCTAATTTGTTTTGTCCATATAGTCTTGCCATTTCCAGAATGTCATATAAATGGAGTTGTACAGTATGTATGTAGCCTTTTTTGTCTGGATTCTTTCACTTAGCATAATGCTTTTGAGATTCATCTGTGTTTTAGATGTATAAGTAGCTTGTTCCTTTTCTACTGTAGAGTAGATTCCATGGTATGGATATACCACAGTTTATTCACCTACCAGTGGATGGGTATTTCAATTGTTTCCAGTTTTTAGATGTTATGAATAGAGCTGCTATAAACATTCCCGTTAACTTCTGGGCATCCAGAACATGAGCCCTGGCAAACACACACACACACACACACACACACACACACACACACACACACACACGATGTAAGGACTATGGGTAGGATCAGAAGAGGAGCATACACAGAAGGGGACAAGAGACAGAAAACAGAGGTTGGAGATACTACCTACACATGACAGCATTCCAGTTTCATAAGTATTATCCCAGACATGCCTGTGGAAAGCCCTAGGCAGCACATGCTATAATCCCCATTGTGCAGACAGGAGACAGACAGGCCCTAGGAGGCACTATGGCTTATCAGGATCCAGAAGAGGTAGGAATGAGGAGCTGGGTCTGACCCCGGGTCTGTTTCAAAGCTGGGACCCAGGCTGCATCAGATCTTCCCAGGGGGCTGTGGGGAGTGGTGTGTTGGTGTCACTGTATAAAGATATGGTCTTGCATGGACAACGGGGGTGAGCAGTCAGCAACTCAGAGGACTAGTAGAATATGTGTGATTTGAGAAGGGGATTTAGGGAAGGGGATCCCAGGAAGTAATCACAATGGAACTTGGAACCCCTGTAACCAGGCACCCACATTCTAGTGACAACCTCATAGCCAGCTCATGTGGCTAGAGGCATTCCCTAGTGAAAGATGTCTTGCTGCTTCCTGACTTCCCGGCGCTCTTGCTTTAGGAAACCCCACTGGGAGAGCCTTCCCAGATGCTGCAGATGTTGGCTCAACCCTCATGCCTGACATCTGGCCATTTTCCTGGAGGCCCCATAAGGTAACAAACACCAGGTGGCCTACGCCAGGCCTCTCCAGGCCACATTATCTCTGTGAGCCCTTTCTGAGCATACCCTCCTTTTCATGTATGGGGAAGAGGAACATGAAGAGAGGGCCTGCCCTGCACGGGAACAGGTTGTTGGGCGGTGGATAGCGTGGTGATCCTGTCATGATCACACCCAGGGCAGGGATGGCAGGGTGGAAAGGGGACTCTTGAGGGCCTTCTAAACTGGGCCACTATGCATCAAATGGATGCCTCAGAACAGTGGTCATGGGCCACCCACCAGCTGGGAATCTTCAGAATGTTGCTACATCTTTGAGTCTCATTTGGCTCCTCTGAACAGTGGGATGAATGGAGGACCAACCTCAGAGGATTATGGTAGGGATTCAGTGGGGTCCTCCCTGGAAAGTGCTTTCTGTGTGCCTGGCCCTGTGGAAAGGTCTGCTGGAGGGGTTGCATTGGCACTAACTTATCCTTTGTCTCTTCCCTACAACGAAGCCTCTGCCTCATCCCTCACTGTCCCCAAGGCCTTGGGCTGAGCTGTGTTCTCATTGGAGAAGATTGGAGATTCCACTAGGGGTGCCTGTCCTAGGAGCAGCCAGGGCAGGAATGGCAGGGGGTGAGCAGTGGGGCCCTGGCTCATTCACATATCTGTGATCGGGCTGGTGGGGGCTCACTCATTCAGCAAATGTATAGGAAACCCTATAGGTGCAGGCACGTTTCTAAGCACGGACCCCAATCTAGTGCCCCAAGCAGTGGACAACAGCCCTGCCCTCCAGAGCTTGCATTCTAGTTGGGAGTGAGACAGTCCTACTCGACTTCACAAGCAAGTAGTGATGCCCTCCTGCTCTCCTCTCAGTCTGGATGTGTCCACCCTTACTCTGAAGACGATGGTGGACCTCTGGACCAATTGAAAAATTGAGTGGGCTTTGGAGCAGAACTGTGAAGGGAGGTGCTGGCAAAACCCCGCATCCCAAATAGCATGTGATTTCTGCAAGGGCACAATGTGGCAAAGCCGCCTCCACTGTCTATTCAAGAACATTTTTGTCAAAGAGAAACCTGTACCTGTTCACTCACTCCACCCACTTATTCCATCCCCTACCACCAAGCCTATCCCCAGGGCTGGCGCCCACCGATATTCTTTATATCTTTATGGATTGATCAATTTGAGAGTTTTCATGTCAGTAGAATCATGTTGTGTCCGGCCATGTAATGTAGGAGGAGACTGATTCCTGTTTGATTTTGAGTTTTAATAAAAATTTTATTTAAAAATTTTTATTAAAATAAAAATTCAGGTCAGCAAGTGACTTGCATAGCTCTGGATGTGTTCAATCCCGGGGAAGTTCTGAGTTGCAACAGCAGGACCCACTTGAGCTTGTTTGAGCACAAAGGGTCTTTACAAATCCTGTCTGGAGATCGAGGAAGCTGCGGGAAGGTCGGAGCCTCAGAATGGGGGGCGGGGGGGGGGTTGGAACTGAGCACAGGCCCTACCCAACCCTCAAGGCTCTTCCAGTAGCGACCCTCTGCCCTGCCCCCGCAACATCCTCCCCATCCAGCTGTTGCCTGGGAAGGAGCTCCGCCTCTTGCCCAAGACTTCATCTGGGGAGGCGGGTGGTGCTATCATCTCCATCAGAATAAGGTCAGGAGGAGGAGTCTCACTTTTGGCGGCTGTTGAGTGAGGCCATGGTCAGGGAC